ATAATAATAATAAATAAACTAATACTTAGAAATAAATAAAATAATAATAATTATAAATAAATAACACATATGTGTAATAATATTTATAAAAGAACAATTATTACAAATAACTATTATATGATTATTAAACATTATAATTATTGTATTTTTATATTATTAATAAAATAATTACATACTATATATTAAAATTGATAATGAATAGCAACTAAAAAGTACTGAAAGCTTGCTATGTTCCAAAAACTGCAAATTTCTTCAACGAATTTCATCGAACAAGAAACGGAAGGAAAAAAAACATTTTTAAGAAGTAAAATAAATTAGAAATAAACGATTTAAACGATATTTAAAAATATAACACTTATTCTTTTTTTAAAAAAATATCCTAGTTCTCACCAATGATATTAGAAATATCCATATTCGAAAATAGCATTAAATAAAACAGAAGACTGAAATATATATTTTGATTCGGGATTGCAATGAAAATGGTTAAATTGTAAAAGAAAGCAAAATAAAATCGTCTGAAATTAATAGGATTACCGCGGGAACTGAACCAATAAAAATTATTTATAATATACGTTATCTCCATGGCAACCACATCGTCCGACGATAAAAATATCAAGGTAACCATATTGTAATGTTATCGCCCATCTTGGCGAACATAAACAACAACTTGGTTCGTTGCCCCGTGATATCAAACTAGCAGGCCAAACTCTTATGAAACTAATGTGTCTGCCATAGCCTAGTGATTATGGTCGTTAACTAATGACCGAAGTATCGCGGGTTCGAGTTCTGGTGCCACTAAAGACCCGCCATGTAGAAGAGACCAATGCGCATTTAATCTTTCCTGGGTCAATGTCTTCACTTTGGAGTGGTGTATTTGTTAGGAGAGGGGTGTCACATCCTAGTCACTTGAGCACGGATTAAAATTACGATGGTTGTCGCCAATAGACATCGTGTTGATTTATAATGCGACGATAGTATAATTGTCATTCATGAATTTCAGGCAATGTGAACAGAAATTGACTTAACCTTCTAAAACATTATTAACTGGTTTTTGAATTAAATTATTTTTTTTTTGACTTTCCACCAAATTTCTCGCAACTTCAATTGATTTATTATTTATTTATATGTTCTTAAAAGCATTACGCTGATTGATGGTTTTAAATGTTTTTTTTTTATAAAGCGTGCTGGAAAAGCTATTACTCAAGGTTAGGAAAGTATAAATTATTCCACGTACTGATTTTCTTGGAAAACTAATTTAAAAACTAGATATAGTTTCATGAAAGGTGTGTAGTTAGAAATAATCTAGATGTTGTGAATGTTAAAATAAAATAAAATGAATTCATTCATAAAGTGCATTAGATTGCTCAATGATATTCCATGCAACATTCAATTTCATAAAAGTTTCAGTGATTAAAGAATCCTATTTGAATTTCATAAACATGTATTTTCACATTAGTAATGTGAATAATATATTTTCTTCTACTCTTTGAAATTTTAATCTCGGTGTCCTTTACTTTAAAATAAGAATAATAACTAAACTCCTTATTTCTTCACAAAATTTTTAAACTTTTAAATTTGTTGTTCTATTTTTATTATTTTAACTATAAGTAAAACAATATTTTGAAATTAATTTTCCGAATAAAATGAAACGAAAATAAATTTTTTCTTGTTTTAAATTAAGATATTTAATAATACAAAAAAAAATGTCTGTGTACAATAATAGTTTTATAAATTATTTTAAAAGCTTTTGTTTAGAACAGTAAGTTGAGATTGAAATTCCTAAATAAACAAAAATATTAAAAAGTTTTGTACAAGAAATATATGTCTTAAGGTAATTGACAAAATTTGTTTTCACTTAAAAAATCTACCATTAAATCATCTGAGTACCCGAAAATAATTTAAAAGCATATATAATTTTTTGTAGTTGATAAATTTAAGACGCGTACAATTGTTCAATGTTGTTTTAAAAAAATATTATAAAAGAGTAATTTAAAAGGAAAAAAATATCATCATCAACTTTTATTCGAAATACGGAAAAAAATAATTGCATGATGAATTTAAAATAAATAAATGTAATCAATGATTGTTTTCTGAATTCTTGGATCTGTTTAGTTTTAATTTACCATGAAATGCAAATATTGTTCGAACTTAATTAAGTTTTGAAGAACACAAAACCCTGATTTAAAAAAAAATATGTCTTGGGATAAAATATTTGGTATGGCATGTTAATAATATATCATTTATTTTTGAGAAATAGATCTCGAAAGCTAATTATTAATCAGGCATGGTACTTCATACACAAAATTTTCCCCAAACCACATTGAATTTAATTTCTTCCAGCCGAATTATCTTTTATTGAATTATGGTCAGAAAAATACCTATTATTTGCCTACATATTTTGCGATCAGCAAATCACACTGAGATGAGCAACTAAAACTAAGAGTCAAAAATAATTGTTATATTTAATTTTTCGAAAAGATAGAGCCATAAAAATCAATCGTAATTAAAATAAAAAAAACTAAAACGCAATTGTATGTTTGCGATGAAATTGCATCACCATATAAATTATTTATAGTATCCAACCAAATTCATTCCTACCAGACTTCGTTTAGGTGTCGTCTTTGACACTTAAATGAGATTTAAAATTACGAGGTCCGTCACCAATAGCCCTCGTACTTCTTTACAATGTGACGTTAATAAAACTCTCTCATTCATTCTTACGAATCTTCACGGGTACCTGATTTACAACTGTGACGCGTTCTATCCGAGGTCTTCTAATCCTCAGTGGAAACTGTTCTTTAATTGTGATATTAGTTTAAAAACCACTTTCTTCTGAGATGACTTAATGTTATGCTAAAGTAGATGCTATTCAATCCCTGGCATTGGAGCGTATTAGGTGAAATCACGAAATCGTGAAATAGGGGAACGTTAATAGTAGAAAGTGATTTGTGACCAGAAAGTCGTGCGTACTGAAGTTAATATTCAGCTTAGAACCCACTCAGAGCTGTGAAAGGAATAGTCGATTTGTACCAAGCTGTTGCCATTTGAGAAGAAGTCAAGAGAACCACAAGCGACTCTAAATATAAGTTATTTTAAACAATCTTATAAGCTAGATTAAAGAGTTTAGAGTAAGTTTGCTCTCAATGAGTAAGTTGTAAATTGCTCATAAAGAGTTGGATCTAAAATAAAAGTAATTATTTTTTAAAACAATGTCTTCTTCCCCAAACCCTCTTACACCTGGAACCACCGTGGTTGAGACACACTTTAAACTCAGCTCTAACTTAGCAAAAAAATCATAGTTCCCCATTTTTCAGGACAGGCTTAAAAGGGTTTCCCATTTTTCTCTTTTTGTGTGTGTGAGTTCCTTTTTTCTATGATACCTGTTGGATAAGGTGTACACGTATTCCGACGCTTTGCAGACAAAACTTAGAGTATCTGAAGATTAATTGTGGACTTCAATATGATCTGAATCAATTAAACATAAAACTAATGACTGCCTCATTTTTTTTAGAAAAATATGCTCCACCAAAATTTTATCTTAAAAATAATCAAGACGTGAAAAAAGCTGAGAGTGGACGTAATATCTTTGGGCAAGACTGAAATTTACATCTAAGCCTAAAATTCAAGTGCATGATTAAATGCATGCACTTTTTATGAAATTTCGTTTTGGAATCTTCGCAATTTTTCTACTATCCTGGCTGTTCAATAAAAAAAGTTACTGTTGAAAGAAGGAAAAGAAGTTGTGTGTGATCCAAGACGCTTCAGTATTACCAAAAAAGAAAAAAGAAAATAAACCACTTACAGGTATAATGAGTTAAATTCAAGGCAACTTTATCCAACCGTAATTAGTTAAGTCATTATTCATGAATTCTGCTTTGGTATATTTATTACTACACGCACAAGTTTTTATTTATACTGTATATAATATTTTTTGATCACGATATATGGTGGTAAAGAAACAAATATGACCAAAGCCATTATTAAAGTTTAAATTCTGTTTGGTTCAATATTTCAAAAACATTTCACGTTGTTAAAACTTATTCAAAAGTCTGAATTTTCAAATTTAGCTATAAAAATAATATCTTAAAAAAGCGAATAGCTAATACGCAACGGGGCCAGTAGCGCAATGGATTACGGATTAGGTAACCCTGGCTGGTTCGGAACTTCAAAAGACGTCCACTTGTTTAACTTTTATTCAGGATTTCACGATTAAAACTAGCAATCTTTTAAAAACAAATTGAATATTTTAAAATACATATGGTGCTGTAATGGATAACAAGCCTGACATCAAATCGGGAGATTTTAGGTTTAAATCCTGCCAAAACTCAGAATTTTCGATTTACATTTTGCCAAGAAAATATAATGTATTAAACAAGATATCATTCATTGGCATGGCCAAGTAATTTTAGCGCGTTTTCACACAAGATGAATTTTGCAATAATGCAACTAATGAACTTTTTACTTTTTTCAAAAAAACTTCACACTTTTAGTTTTAAAAAATACTATTTTCACTTTAAACTATATATCTTATCACTTTATCACTTATAGTTTTCAAAAGAACTATTTTCGCTTCACACTATATATCTTATTACTTTACTGTTTAAAAAAAGAATTAAATTAAAAAAGTAAAATCAGAGCCTTTTATACTTGTTTTCTGAACTTTTTTTGTGAAGATTTCCTCCAAAATGCAGGTAGATTTTTTTTTAAAAACTTTTTGCAAACAATAAATTTACTAGGTAAAATTTGAGAAAATTGTGTTATAAACTAGCGCAGGAAAAGTTGTAGGAAAATTCGGGAAAACTATGGAAAAATTTTAATATGATTCGGCTCATCTAGGGCACAAATGCGACCAAATGCCGAAAACCCGAGGTCAATTGGTTGCTTATTGGCTGAGAAAAAGGTACGACAAAATATGGAACGATGACGAAATTTGCGTCCTAATAGCGCTTTTGTGCGCTACGTGAAAAACGCGCTAAAAAACGTTATCTTACACGCAACGTGGGCCAGTGGCGCCATGGATAACGCACCTGACAACGGCTCAGGAAATTTCAGGTTCGAATCCTGGCTAGCTCGATACTTCGGTGGGTGTTCATTCACTTAAAAAGACTTCTGAATTTACATTTTGCAATGAATATATAATATCTCAAAATTTGTGTAGCTTTTACTTATAAGGGCCAGCGGCGAAATCCTACTATATACTTAAAGAGTGAGCTCTAGTCATGTGTCAGAGCCGATAACCGCAGGTTTTTTTTTATTTATCATCTGATCCTGTTTGTTCTTTGATATTAAAAATATATATTATTATTCGGATCAAAATACGCGCGTCCTATTTGCTATAATGGTTGTCACATTTGGATTTGCATTTGTAAAATGTAAAACAGTAAAGTTTTCTACCTATAGTTTTAATTTCCATTCGTCACTTTGTATTGGAATGAATAATAGAGGAACTCTATAGAAGCAAGTAAAGATTTGGTATTGGAAATTTTTAGACAAATAATAAAATTTTCTAAAAGTCTTAAAATGTTTGCTCTTAGAACAGATCCGCAGGAAACCCAGGAACTTCCAAATTTAGCAAATAGAAGTTCAAATGTGGATCCACTAAATCTGGTATGCTGGATTTCGATTGATAGATATTTCTAATGTCAAAGAACAAATATAAGTAGACGACTACTGACAAACTAAAACGCGAGGCTTGGTCAATAGCACTCTACAGGTGTTTATCACTAGTCAAATATGGCTCTTTAATTGATACCTCCATTATAGTAAATATTCGCATCTGTAAGAAGCCAAAACCTGATTATACAGCCTTGTTGAATTTAAAGCAATGCAGTTTTAATTAAATCTGCCTACGCTTATACCTCCTGGATCGATCTTACGTTTATGATGGAGAATTCAAATGTATCCATTCATTTCGCAATAGGAATAAGCTAAATAGTAGGAGTCAATAACATTAAAAAATTTTATTAATAAATTTGAATATAAATTTCATTATATATAACTGTAATTATTTTTAAAATTCAAATGTTTGCCAAATATTTTGGTCCACTTGAGACGAACCGGAGTTCGTACTAGTGTAATGGGATGAATGTGATCAACTACCTTAAAAACCAACAAATTTATTAAAAATAATATTTTTGGATCTCAATTGCAAATATAAAATATAAAATATTAACAACCAAACTCCATATAAGTATTTAAAATATACTTAATCTTCACGCAAGTATTTGAGGCATCCTCACACAGATTCTAAAACAAAACAATAGAGATCAAGTTATCTACTTCTCTAACATGATTTTATATTTGCATTAACAAGATTTTATATAACTCACAAGCTTCTATTATAATAAACACATCCTGTTTTACTTCAGATATCTTTAAAAGGTAATATATTCATTTGCACATATATTGCGGTTCCTTTATAAGGTGAGTTTCTTAAGTAGTCAATAGAATGTAAAAACCTCGGAGGTAAATCAAAGGAAAAAAACACGTGAGAAACCGCTACTCCTTGAAGGAAAGGTGGAAATCAGGGGTTGGCAACCCATGGAACACGTGCCACATATTGGCACGTGGTACAGTTCTCAGTGGCACTCTGCACTACTCTACAAATTTGTCATATATTGAGTGGATGAAAATTGATAAATTTGTAACGCACCTTATTTGACAAAGATCTTTAGAATTATGAAAAAATCTGAAGACGTTTATAAATTATTGAATGTCACTGCTAAGGGTCTCAGGGGTGTTGACTTTTTCTGGAGGGATGAAAATATAAACAATATTCAAATGCATGTAACTCTTTGAAATTGAAATTAAATAATTCGTATCTCTTTCACATTATTTATAAAGGAATAAGGCTTCAGAAAAGTGTAAAATGTTTAAAATATAATCATAATTTTAAAAATTATATGCTTGTGAAAATAAGAATTTTTTTATAAGAAATATTAAGTTTTACTGCGCGCATGCTATTTTCAAAAGTATTAGCTTTAATTACTAGCAATAAGTTGATTTATAAATTTAATTGTATCCTTATTACACCGTAGTAAATTTAAATAAATAGAGTAATAAATTATGTTTTTTAAAAATAAAAATAATTATATTTTCAAAATTTTTTTTTAAAAAATTCAATATTTTTCAAATATTTTGAAATACAAAAGACATTTTATTCTTAATTTACTCGGACTTAAAGGGTATGATACATTTTATAATTCTATAAAGTTTTATGCATCAAAGGCTACTATTTTAGAAAATAGCGTGCGCGCAGTAATATTTCTTATAAAAAAAATGTCTTATTTTCATATGCTTATAATTTTTAAAATTATGATTAAATTTTAAACATTTTACACTTTTCTGAAGCCTTATTCCTTTATAAATAATGTGCAAAAGATTCGAAATATTTAATTTTAATTTAAAAGAGTTATATGTATTTGAATATTGTTTATATTTTCAGCCCTCCAGAAAAAGTTAACACCCCTGAGACCCCTAAGAGATTTAAATGTTTGAAGAGAAAATTGAATGCACTCTGTTTTCCGCCTTTGTGTACGCACATATCTAAGTAAAAAATTATTTCCTCTTATAAAAAATATTTGAATTCTACAAAGAAATTTTTTTCATCTAATTACTGAAAAGTGCGTAAAACTGAATGTCAAAAATTATACTCCTAATTTTGCGATACGAAAGTAAAGCGGTGCTAGTATTAGGTTTTCATTAAAAAGTTTATTTATCTTTTTAGTAAACTATAACGAAGGGAAATACCTATATTTTATGGTATTTATTATTATTTTTTATAAATATGTTTAAAATAGATATGTGCAAGTTTGGTTTTTTTTTTATTTCTGGTTGAAAAAATAGTTATATTTCATGCTGTTTATTTTTATGTTAAAAAATATCTTCAATTGATGTAAAGTTAATACAACCTCGGACAATAAAGATCGGTGAACATACAGTACTGTAACATTAAAATAGAGGAATATTAACGAAAGTTACCTTACCGTTCTTTCGAAATAGTCACCTCTAATAACTACGCACCACTAAGATCTGCTATACTTGTCCTGGAAACTGCAAGAATTCTTTTCAGATGGAGTTCAAAAGTCTCGTCATGTTTCGTTGAATGGTAGGAATATAGTCAAATATCTTTCTTTCCAAAGCCAGTTTGAATCATGGGAATAGGAAGAAGTCTAGAGGATTGACATCTAGCGAGAATGGTGGATGGTCAATTTGCACCAATTGCTTTTTGCCAGGAACTGTTTGATGATATTAGTTGTGAGAGGGTGAGCATTGTCTTGAACAAAAAACTATGAGCCTTATTGTCCGTACTGGGGTCGTACCCTGCATATAAGTTCCATGGAACAGGTCAAAATTTTAATATATCTTGTAGCATTCATCGTCAACTATTATGCGCACAGTTGATCGACGATCTTGCGAGATTAGTTTACTCACTTTCTCAATGTTTTCGTCACTGACGGAGGTATCCGATATTTAGCTATAGGGCTTTTCAGAAACACTTCCCCGCCCTTCTCGACAATGTGCGAACTTCTCATACACACACTTCATGAACAGTAACTGATCTTCATAAATATGTACTAGCATCGAATATACGTTTCTGTAGGTGTCTTGCCAAGCTTAAAGCAAAACTTTAAATTGATCTTTTGTTTGTTTATTTTCCTCTACTCAATTAAGAACCAACATACTAAACAAGCACGTGGTAAAACCAATCTTACACAGAATACAAACGACGCTCAACTGAACAACGGTGGTGGCAGATCATCAACATCTGCCATCTGCCGCTACGCATGTGCAGTGTTTCCAGATTGACCATTCTGACTTCATTCATCGAACTTTATTATGAGAGGTTTTATGTAAGAAAACGGTAAATCTGTATTATTGACATCTATTCTCTAATTCTGCGTTCATTGTCACGTGAATCAAATTTTTTCAAAAATATCCTCTTATGCGACACGCTGAATTATATTGGAAGATTGGTTTGGCACGCTACAGCTACAAGGTTGCCGTCCTCTGACAGAAATGATAAAATCTCTAGGTGAAACTTGCTAACTGCAGGTAATGCTGATTTTCTAAAGAGAAAGCTATTAAAAAAACTCATTAAAATTCGAAAGTTGCATAGTTGTAAGTGGATTCTGAAGTTTGCATGTAGTAGTTAATTATATACAAGGTAAACAAAAAGTTCTTGTCTTTTTTAATGACCCAAAAGAACATGACATACAAACAGAGTAGCCTCTTGTTAGACCTCGAAGTAATGACCATCGGCATCCAGCACCTTCTGCCAACGTGTCTCCAGTTGTTCAATCCAATTGCGGTAAAACTCGGGTGTGTGGAACGCAAAGAAATCCGTGAGAGCTTGGCACACGTCTGCTCCATTAATAAAGGATTTACCACGAAGATGATTATCCAGGGAATGGAAGAGGTGGTAATCTGATGATGCAAGGTGCGGTGAGTAAGGAGGATGGCACTAAGTCTCACAACCAAGTCGCTATATCGTATTCCTGGCCACCCGCGCGACATGCGGCTTCGCGTTTTCATGCAGCAAAAGTACATCCTTTCAATTAACCAGTGCTGGCTCCTTCTGATGCAATTCCTGTTGTACACGTTCCAATTGCTGCGAATATAAGTCCTTAGTGACCGTTTGGCCTATTGGTAGCAACTCATAGTGAATCACTTGACGACAAGTCCACCAGACACAAAGCATAACTTGCATGGGTGCATAGGTGATCTTGCGCTGTGCGGGGCAGTATCCTTGGTGGAACAACCAATGTTTGGAACGCTTGGGTGTATCATACAGGACCCACTTCTCGTCACTGGTCAGCAACCGATTTAATATGGATGAGCTGCAGTGGCGAGGAAGTAACGATAAACATACTGCCACTCGTTGTTGCTTATGGACTTTCAACAGCGTGTGAGGAACCCACTCGCTCAGCCTGTACGTCTTACCGTTTCGGTGCAGATGAAGTCTAACCGTTTCCCTGGAAGTGTTGAATTGTCTGACAAGTTCACCATACGTTTGACTACTGTCCTCCTCAATGGCCACCTGCAGGGCTTCGTCGTCCAAGGCCCGTGGTCGT